ACGTTTGTTTTTAGTGTGTACATACAACTGGATCCAGTTTTGTCTTAAATACGACCCTCTTTATATACGACTGACTACAGCATTAATCCATTTTTAAGGGATTATTACCGTACATTGTCATAAATGGTTTAGTGCAAGTTATTAAATTATTAAATTTTAACTAGGTATATGTCAACTGAACTTGCTCAAGAATAGTTTTTACGCAAATATAACAACACAATGTTTAAAAATGTTATTTAAACCAAGTAAACTTCATCAGAGTTTCGGCTCTGAAGTACTGGTTCTTGGCTAAAATTTTGTTAAAACTGTAACCAAGGTTTGTTAACCCTGAAATACCGTGTCTTAAAGACTAGCATTCATTATAATCAGAATAGCCAGTTAGGAAACAGTGAGATTTTCTGTTTTATAGGAAGACATCGATAAAGTGCTTTGAATTATGTTAATGATCTCCTCCTCTCAAATCCTTTGCCCGAAAGGAATAAAGGTTCTTGGAATTAGATGAGCATTATTATTATTACGGTTTAAGCTGGCTAGTTTACGACCTCCGATTCGCAGAACTGTTAATCCTTTCAATCAAGCCACCTAAAAGCTTTATAAGATATATATCACTATTATTATCCTGAGTATGATTTATTATTTATGCCTTCGACAAGAAAATACGTCATACTCTCTAATCGAAAAAAGAAATCCAGTTTTTGTTTATTTTTTTTTACAAATTTTTTCAAATAAGCATTTTAAGAATAAAATAATTAATATTTTTGTATTATGGTATTTATCCATTCACGAACTTTATATAGTAAAGTAGGCTGTGATATTTTTTCTTTAAGTTGGATAAATTGATTTGATGATTTAGTTTTTTGTCTGTCTTTTCTACTTCATTTATTAGATCAGAATTATTAGATGCAATCAAGCAAACAAATGTTTTAATTTTGTCAGCATAGATAATTTGTCATTGTGACAGATTCACAGATCATTGCGACATTATTTAAAAAGAAAATGCCTAAAATAGTTGTACTGCAACAAAAAATTGCAATAAAAAGATGTTTTTTGCAGTTTCGAAAAGACAGGCCCGATCTTTCGAAGAAGTAACTATGAGGGTCTCGAACATATTTTCCGTAATGTAAAAATACGCTGTAAAATATTTTTTAATTTTTTTTCTCATAGGTGGGAATATCAACTGTGGCGAAAATTTTATCAACAGGGGACCAAAATTTAAAAACATCACTATTTGGCAAGCGAAAACCAACGGATTTATTTACAAATTATATGTTTCGGAAAGACCTGCAACGACAAATTTGGCAACTTAATGAAAAAAACGAATATTTCACTGTAGATACTCTTTTGGCAGATTCTAGGGAACAGATGGAATTTAAAGGGGGGCGAACCACATTATACAAAATTATTAAGTCAATGGGTTATAAATACAGGGAAGTAAATGGTCGCAAAATTATATGTGAACAAATGAGCTTCGCTCACTTTCGTGTACAATTTAACATGATTTTTTTACTTATACTTCCAATAAAATACTTAATAGTATTACGTATTTGTGGTTTTTATTTAACGTTAAATTACTGGTACCTAAAATAAAAAAATGTGCCTCCTTTTTCTGTTGAAAATGAAGCACAGTCAAGCTAAAAACGATAAAGGAACAAATTTGCTCCTCTCATCAAAAAATGTTTAAATAACATTGCAGAGTGAATATTTTTTCTATACCGCTTCAACACAAAAAAATGTCTCAAAAGTGGACAATTCGATTCTTCCTTATGGCACATTTAATGAAATATTTTCACCCTTACCTGCAATAGTTTTGAAAGCAATTTGGTTTTACGATCCTGTAAGGTATTCATAATCCCTGTTTCCTGAACGAAAATGTACTTCCTCTGTAAAATATCTACAAACACAATTTATTTTGTTTCTTTATTGTGGGGTTTTATGGCAGTTCTGAAGGGACAACTAATACTTATAATCAACCCCAGTACCAGTCTTTTTAAATCGAGCGTCTTAGTAGTAGTAGTCCGTTTGCGGTACATTTTCAGAAAGATTGCAAATCTACGATTACATATTAACGAATAATGAGGAAATCTCACAAATACTGTGCATCTCCTGTGTGTTCAAATAATGGCAATAATTGTGATTAAAGTTTTTTCACTTTTCCAGGGGTTGAAAATCGGTAAGTAATATTTCCATTATTTAATATTTTTGGCTGCCTTCTAAGTTCCACCTCATCGCAATTCTACAGTACTTTTTTGAACGTTAGCATAGGAATTTACGTGTTAAAACTCGCGCTAATGAGTTTTATAGTAAATATTTTCAAGTGAAATTTAGCCAAAGATTAGACTAGTCTTTTATTAATCAATTTAACAAAATAATTACGAAATTATAACAAAACATACCTTACGCTCGGGAAATAAAAAGTACCTACATTAAATTTGTAACTTGCCCAGAAGGCCCTGACCAAGGGTCATAACGTGACTATGATTGGGAATTAGTGGTGAAATCAATAAATTTATTTTCATTCCAATTCCGTAATTATTTCGGTAAAATGGCCTGAAATTGATTTATAATAAATTAGTTTTAATTTTCTGCCAATTCAGTTGACAATCCTGCTTGAAAATTTATGAACACGACCCAAAGTTTTAACACGTAAATTCTTATGGGCAGCATTAAGAAAGGCACTGTATCATTATTAATAATCTAATAAACAATGTTAAAAAAAAAAGTTGGCTTTATGCCGGGATTCGACTCGTATCTCTTCCGAATTTCCAATGATGTATGCTAAACCTTATGCTTACAACATATATAATAATAAAACTAAATAGAAAAAATGCGTTTACTAAAATTTATCACAATTTTAGGTTCCACCAATGGTCAACGGTTATTGGCCGACACGATCTGATTTTCCAAAAGATAAAAAGCCACAAAAATTATGTGCTTTGTGCAGCACATTTTTCTCCAAACATGTTTACCAACCCAATGCAAAGGAACAGACTGAAAAAGGATGCAATGCCCATGAGTGATTCGTAATATCGCACTGTGAGAGCAATACTCACGTAAGTCAAAATTTGCCGAATTCTTAAATTTATCATTAATGCATAAAAAAGTTAATGTAGTTTTAGTATATGTAAGTATAAACGGTTTTTAATAGTTGCGTAATGCTCAAATTCATCAAAATGTTTGTATTGCATTTCCGAACATTACGTGTGCACTTAATGCAAGACTGCCGTATCTCAAAACTAAGTGAAATGCACGTAAGCTATGAAGCTATGAGATTTCAGTCGATGTTGATAATAATCTGATACTCCCACTAATTTAGGTACAAATTGAACACAACAAATGTACAATGTCTTCTGATGTAGTTAAGAATTGACCGAAAACATGGAAATCAACTTTTCTTTGAATAGGAAAGGTAATTAGAGCGAAATAAAAAATTTAAAATTTGTCAAAAATTCCGATGGAATTTTGTAACTTCGTATGGAAAGGAAATATATCAGGAAATAATAGTCAATCAATTCCCGAACATCACGACAACGGCGACATCAGACTTAAATGAAAATGATTAAACAATATTTATGAAGGTCCTTTAGCAGTACGTAAAAAAATACGATGGACTGAATAAATTATGTACAAAAAAACGAATTAAATAAAATTATAACACATTTTATAACAATTTAGCCATAGTACACTGACCGGCAAAAAAAAACGGCCACCCTGAAAAATTTCGCAAAACGAAACTTTAAAAATTATTAATTTAAAACTAGTGATCGTTATTTTATTAAAGAACCATTCACTATTGACATATGAAAGGTATAAATTAGCAAAAAAAAGAAGCCAATTAAACGCAGAATTAAATTTAAATTAACAAAATAACAGAAACAGACCAAGTACGATATTTTCTTAAAAAAAATAACAATAAAGCAATAAAGGAGGCTTTGTCGCTTTGTTTCTGTAATTTTGTTGAAAGACGTCTGGAAGAGTTAACGAAATTATTTTCGCGTGAAAACGTTTATTAATTGCCAAACTTATAATCAAATGATGAAAAACACTAGTTACAACAACATCCTCCTTTATTGCTTTATTGTTCTTTTTTTAAGAAAATATCGTATTTGGTCTGTTTCTGTTATTTTGTTAAATTAAATTTAATTCTGCGTTTAATTGTCTTCTTTTTGTGCTAATTTGTACATCATGTGTCAGTAGTGAATGATTCTTTAATAAAATAACTATCACTAGTTAAATTAGGTTTTAAAGTGGTTTTGCGAAATTTTTCAGGGTGGCCGGTTTTTTTGCCGGTCAGTGCAGATGTTGAATGAATTAATACTGTGACCGTTTTGTGTTTTGTTATATTTTTTTCATTACAATGTATTGCTAGTTTGCTCTTGTCTTAAATTTATTAACACGCAAGCCAAAATATTTGATATGGTGTACCAGTGCAATAGTAAGTAAGTAAGTCAAAATTTCTTGTTTTCTATAACGAGTAGAAGGGTCTAGTCTAAAGGAATAAGAACACGATTAATAATAGATTGACAATACGACTATAATGTATTTCCAAGTGGTTGGTATTTAAGATACAAATAATATATTAAAACTTGGGAATTTTAAATCATCATTACTCAAAACACGCTGGTTTTGAGTTACGTGAGTATTGGTCTCACAGTGCGAAGTCTGTTAATAATGGAAACGCAAGTATAGACTGGAGGAGAAGTACCACCCGTTGTGAAGTCAACTTTAATAGGATCGATGTTACAGAGAGATACAGACAATAATTTTGTGTGCGACTGTAGATCTTTGTGTTTATGTAAATTGGTGTTTCTCTTCATAGGTAAATATGTAAGATTATTGACGACGTTGACTTACAACAATAATTTATTATTGCCGAGGAGAAAAACATTTTCGAATTTATATACTTCTTTATTACATAGAGTTAACAACATTTACATACAAACATAATAAAATTGTATAGATTTGAAATAGGTACTGTTACATATTATAATTGGTAGTTAGGTTTATTCAGTCCACCGATGTAGGCACTTTGAGTTTCGACACACATAATACAGTCTCATCTCGCTTTCAGCTCTTCGGCTTTCGGCTTGGAAAAAAACTGCGTCTTGACGACCACACTGAGGGCATGGATGGCAATCAGTCCTCGGCAAAGCTGGATCATTGACAACATCAGGGACGATATTCCTTAATTCGTCTACGTCTTGCACGATCTTGTTGACGTAAACGCACTTGTTCTTGGCAAGTTGTTTGTGCGAACAATTGCGGCAGGCGTAAAAAAGAGTCTTGGTTTCTTTGTCCTCTTTTGGGTATAACATATTGTTACACTCCGGGCAAAAGAGAATTCCAACAAACGGAGGACCGCCACTAGGTACATAAGTGTTTGAAGTTGATGGATTCGACATGGTTGAAAGAACACAAAGTGTGCTTGAAACGATGATCACGAACTCGAAGTTATGAAACACTGTCGGTTTAGAGATGGTTTAAATACAAGAGATGGTTGAGGAGGGGTATATCAATGGTCACCAGTTCTTCGAAAAACTATTGTTTCCTAATGGGCAGCTTAAGATTGGGATTGTCATTAGTGATCTTTCTTTGGAATTTGTTAAATGCTTTGTTTTTCAGTCGATTTAAAACCTAGAGTAGCGTAAGTAAGAGATTTCACAATATGTAGGTATCAAAATCTTTTAGTTCCTCTTAAAAAAAGAATTAGGTAATAAGAGATATTCCATTTGTTGCAGTTTTTCACGAAATGTGGAACGAGTATTCGAATAAAAGATGATAACCACTGTAAGAAACTTTGACTAAATCATAACGACAAAGAAACAGGTTTAAGTAATTTAACACAATTTTCTTCAAATACCTACAAGAGATGTGAAGGGTGGATTAACATTATCATATTATGTAAGTGTTTGGTCTAGGTTACTTATTACTGTAGTAAATTACTTAAACCCGATGAGTTTCGTTGTCGTTATGATTTATAACTTTAGTCAAAGTTTCATGATGAGGCCACTATATTTTATGATACTCTCCAAGCCATCGACAAGGGAGATTCAAGTAATTCAAATAACTGGCACCGTAAGTGTACTGACAAAAACTTTACTTTACATATGGTATACTTCAAGTAGGCAACAAGTAAGATAAATAAGCATAAACAAAAGATGCATTAAAAGCACTGGCAAAACTTTTAAGGTTATCTGTCGTACCCATTAAAATATGTGAGAATATTCATCTTTGCAATGAGCCGATGACACTCGAAGAATTAATCGATTAGTATCAACCCTGTTACCCTGAGAATCGCATTGTTAGTGTTAGTATTCTATGTATTATCTGTTCACGATCTTTATATAGTAGGGTTAGCCATGAAAATCTAGTGAGTTTGTTGGTTATTCGATGCAAAAGAATAAACATTTCCTGAACTTTTTTCGTTAGGTTATGTTTTATTAAATTAAAAAATATGCCGGAAATGTAAACATTGTTGCCGATACTTTCAGTTTTCAGTAGCAATGACCAAGTTAACGGTATACATTTCTTAGAAAGCATAAAACTTTACGCTATTTAATACAGTTTCTCGGTTTTTTGTAATTGTTTATTTCATATGTGTTCTGCTCGCCCACTCTTCTTAGAAATCGAAATTTAGACCTTTGTAAACAGCCTATTCCGATATCTTCCAACTTCTTTTTTCACTTTTCTAAGATTACTAAAAGGAGTAAAAGGGTTGGTAAAAAACAACAACCTTGCTCTAGTACTTTGATGGGTTTAGCTCTTCTGAAACATTTTTCCGGCCTTAAATTGAATTATTTATCTATATAGCTATTACTAATGCTTACGTAAGTGCTCTTTATTTGCTTTTACTAAGTACTTCCAAACGCTTATTAATAAGAACGTTACTATACGCCTTCTCCAGGTCCATGAAAAGTTACAAAAAAAATGAAAATGCTTAAAGTTTGGCGCAAAGTAACAACGTGGATGATCTAACTAAAATTATATTTATTTTATTGTACGTCAGGTTGTTTTTCACATACTACCTTGGTAAATTTAGAATGAAAGATGCGTAAAAATATTAGCTTCCGAAATGCTCGTTGGCATTGTATTGGAGTTGGTTTTATGCAATTCCCAAATTGACGTCTCACAGAGCCAAAGAAGTTTTCCAGACAATCCTGATTTAGACGTCTGGTATATATATTTTTTTCTAATTCCGCATGTAACATTAAAAGACTTCTTAATGTTATTTGCCAACAGATCAGTGATTTTATAGTAGATGTTACATCCCTACCAACTGAATTAATGACTTTTAAATGTTTAAAAAAAATTATCATTTTATTTACAAAACAAATTTGAATAGTTGACCCTGAAAATATATCTTTAAATTTTTTATGGGAATTTTCATTGCTTTGTTGGGAGTTTAATAGATCAAATAATTGATCCACATTTGCTACAAATGTGGTTATTGTTGCAGGCAGCATATGGAGACAAAGAGCCAGTTGCCATATACGTTGACATCCCAAATGCAACATGCTCACTAAATACCTGAGCTGCCAAGTAGGGGAACGAGGGGCTTGTTGTAACAGTTTTTAGGAAAACGAATATAATTTGGTATCTATTAGCTGTTTGACCATTATAAAAGTATCTATTGGTAGTCTAACTATTCCCCTATTGGACTGAACAGGCAAAAGGTCAAAATTGTTCATCTTCACTTCACGCCAGGCATTTTCTTAAAAAAAGTGCATTGTTACAACTTGTCCCGTGGTTGGGGCTAGTTGTAACAGCTATCAGACAGGTAGTAACAGTAAAAATAAAGCTGATGTTGACACATATTTAGACTTTATTTTTCAAAAATCAACACAACACTTCATTATATACAATTTTTTTCAGTAAAACTGAAATAAACTTTTAGAAAAAGAGTCAACACTAAAGATTTGAGTTTTGTCTTCCTTTTTCTTAATATATCTGGAAAGCGATATATGGCATAGGTCAAAATTTTGGCTCGCTTTGTGTATGCTAGGTGCGAGATTTGTAGAAGTGAATTTGGGATAAGTTGTAACATCTTACAACTTGCCCCAAAGATAATGTTACAACATGCCCCGTAGCACAATTTTCTACATTTAATTACATTTCGACAAAATTATGTGGCTTACCGTCAAAATGTGTAAGGAATATGAAAGCTGACTAATTTTTGAGCTACATGCAAAACTAGAAGTTTTAAATTAATTAATAACTGATACGAAAAACCAAATTTTACTAAAGCAATATTTTACATTACTTGGCCAAAACGAAACACGTGCACACATCCACTCACTGCGCTGGCTGAAGGAATAGTGGTTGTGATGACATGATGTCTTATGGTGCAAGAATTAAATTCAGTAAAAAACCTGACGTTAAAGAGTTTAAATTCCGGGTAAAAATTTAGTGTTACAACTTACCCCTGTTACAACAAGCCCCTAGTTCCCCTATACTCGCATTTTTTGAAAATTATTTGGATAAATGGGCGGTAGTTAATTTGGGCACAGCTCTAAATTGTTGTTTAACATCAGTGTTATAAAAATGTATTAAATGAATTTTCTGAATTAATTCCCCATTTTTAGGATCTAATAAAGTATATGAAAAACATATATTTCTTAGGCCCTTTAATAAATGACAGACATCAAAGTTATAAAAAATTGTTCTATGCTCATTCAACTGATAATAAGGTTTTTCTGGTGTTATTTTTAATGTATTAAAAGCAAAGCTATAGAAATTGGAACCCATGTCTGAAATCAGTTGTCGTACGTTAAGCCCAATCTTAACCATTTCGTCAATAATCTCAAATACAATTTTTTTTAAATATTCCTCTTTGCAAGTAGTGTTAACAAATATATACGCGAGAGGTTGCTTCCAGTTTATGAATATTCCTCTCGCCATTAACACCATCACATTATTTGCAATTAATGATGTTTTTTCGGAGTTATATTGCTCAAAACCGACAACTTCATCTCTGCCAATGTCATAATACAAATTACATTTAATGCTCATTTCATCCATCGTTAAAACACAATCTCGCGCCTCGTCTGCCATTCGTAGTGTTTTTAGTTTTAGAGCATTAAACAATGATACATTAACACCAGGTTCAAGAAGCCATTTTTGAGTCATTAATTGTAAACTCTGAACTGTAGGCAAAAAGAAAATGTTGGAAAATGCTGGAAAGTCTATATGCTGCTGGTGATGAAAAAAATAATCTTAAGGCCAATTGCTTAAAAGTAACAGAATATCGTAAACTCTTTTTACTTCCAGTTCTTTCCATTTGTGTGTATAAATTTAATTGTGTTTTTATAAAGGTAGCAATGTTTTCCGGTAAAACCTTGTCACATAAATAATAAAATTGTGCATGCTCATCACGTTCTTTTTGAATTGGAGCAGTTGATCTACCTTTTGCCTTTTCTAGTTCCAAAGTGTAACGGAGTTTTCTTTTTCTGGGAGTATGGGCGGATAAAGTTGGGCCTGTCTGTGTCGCAACAGAGTGACTCGTAGAAGCGACTGACTCATCTGCTGAAACCCCTGGCTTTTCAGTGGACATTATATCTGTAAAATTTTGTTTTTGTTATTCATGTATGTTGTACGTACTTATATAAATTACAGTTGAATTTCAAGAATTTGCCTGTTGATTTTGGTGGTTCTAAAATATGAGCTGAAGAAATTTCACTAGACTCCCCAGTAGGACTTTCACTCTTTGTTCCAATTGGTACATGTTCTTCTGCAAGTAGGATAATTTAATTAGTAACGTACAAGAATAAAAGGATGAAACTATATTACCCAACGAATCACTCATTGCATCCTTTTTCAGTCTGTTCCTTTGCATTGGTTTGGAGAAAAATGTGCTGCACAAAGCACATAATTTTTGTGGCCTTTTATCTTTTGGAAAATCAGATCGTGTCGGCCAATAGCCGTTGACCACTGATGGAACCTAAAATTGTGATAAATTTTAGTAAACGCATTTTTTTTATTTAGTTTTATTATTATATATGTTGTAAGCATAAGATTTCGGTAAGTTATAAAAGACGAGCAGGACAGAATTAAGTACGACTGTTTATCGTGTAGTAGAGGTTTAGCATACATGATTGGAAATTCGGAAAAGATACCGAGTCGAATCCCGGCATAAAGCCAACTTTTTTTTGTCCTAACATTGTTTATTAGATTATTAATAATGATACAGTGCCTTTCTTAATCCTGCCCATAAGAATTTACGTCTTAAAACTTTCGGTCGTGTTCATAAATTTTCAAGCAGGATTGTCAACTGAATTGGCAGAAAATTAAAACTAGTTTATTATAAATCAATTTCAGGCCATTTTACCGAAATAATTACGGAATTGGAATGAAAATAAATTTATTGATTTCACCACTAACTCTCAATCATAGTCACGTTATGACC